CCGGTAATGCTTCACCTCCCAAACGGTTCTCCCGGAAACTCAAAGATATTGACCGATGTTCAAACTCCATCAGATGATCAACATGCTTTACAGGGAGACCTATGTCACAGTTTCTTCAGCCGTCCATCACTCGCTTTCAATGCTTTACGGAAAAAAATAATGTATGACAAGCTGTTGGCTTTAACGTCAACGGCATGTGGCTGGGTTACGCTTAGTTTTGCCTGATTTACATAACTGCCTGTGGTAAGATTTACCACATGACTCTTCGGCTCCCATTTTCAGACGGTTCACCTAAAGTTACTATCACATTCTATCGTAACGAATGTGCTAACAACTTGATGTGGCATACTACTTACAAGATTGCTGCAAATCCTTTGACATTACTCCACCGATTTCGCTCTTCTTGAGACTAATCAGACAAAGGTAGTCCAAGTTCTTGTTGAATTCATTTGTTATTCAGACCATAAACTTGGCACGACTGTCCTCAGTTTCAAATCATTTTTGTATTGACGACAGGCTCAGATGAATGTCCCGTTTATGCTCTCCTTCAACTGAATACTGTGAACTTAGAATACCTCGTTTATCATTTGGCACGATATAACAATGTCTCTCCACTCAACCCAGATGTTGCTACCTGTTTAGAGCCAAAGCAATGCCTCTTCAACAACGCGTCAGTCACTGGTACTGAGATGACATGATAACTAGTTCACTGTAAGCCAACATAGTTCTTGCGCTTAGAATAGTGGATTTTATGTCGCATTGTTGATGACATTCCTCTGTAGGGTCGCTTGAGAATGAAGAGCGACATTTATATCATGACAAATGTGGGAAGAGAAATAATGATCGACATACGCACGTCAAGTCAAAAGTTGTAAAACCCATTACATTTTAGAGTAGATCACATGGAAGATGGACGTATTAGCAAACCGATTACAGGCTGTTTTGATTCAGCTTCACAAAGCATAGCCGAAATGCAGATGATTTTATCAAAGCCCATGATATATCATTTCCGTTGCACGAAATTCAGTCCTCCTCATTGTCGTTTTTATTTCAGCTATGTAACTCATCAACCGGAGAACTTCATCTACTTCACCCTCAGTGGTGTCGCTGTACTTTTATTCCAAGCAAAGCCAAAAGAGTAGTTCGGGACCGGAATCGAAGTTTATCGCAATCAACCTCAACACATATCCCGTCATGCACGTCAACCATCGATGTTAGGACAAAAACTATGTTGATATGATGTAAATCTCTACGATTTATAACAAGTTTTTTTGCCAGCGTTGGGGAAAGTGAACGATCAGGAACAACGTTAGTGATTCTTTGAGTGATTCTTGTTCATTGTTTTATGGTCACAGTAGGAATGCAGAATAAATGTGCGTGGATCAAAGCATACTACACATGGTTTTCACGAGAGACTCAACTGAATCTCTCGTTTATGATATTCCACAACTGAATGTGCTGCACACAGGCAGCCTCATGATTCAGTTAGCACGATATTCGAGATATCACAGTATATTTTCATGAAGGAAACTACCCACAAGGTTGCTAAAAACTCTTCGACAGCTCATGACCGGTTTCGATCTTCTTGGGGCTCATCAGGTAGGCGCACTCCCCGAGTTTCCGTCAACCTTACGTTCTACTTGAACCCAGATTGGACCGTTTTCGAGAAATGGACTAATTTGTAAATATCATAAACGAGAGATTCAGTTGAGTCTCTCGTGAAAACCATGTGTAGTATGCTTTGATCCACGCACATTTATTCTGCATTCCTACTGTGACCATAAAACAATGAACAAGAATCACTCAAAGAATCACTAACGTTGTTCCTGATCGTTCACTTTCCCCAACGCTGGCAAAAAAACTTGTTATAAATCGTAGAGATTTACATCATATCAACATACACCACACATGGTTTAATTGCATGTTAGCAGGCTACTGAAGCAATGAGTAATTCATCCTATGAGTAGAGCGTTCATTATGCATTATTGATGTGACCAGATTATGACGATGCATCAGCCAATGTAGCTCAGCTCATTTCTATGGTCAAACATCTCACTATATCGAAGAACTTTTAAGGTTGGTGTATGAACCGTTTTTGAAGAAAAACCCTGGAAACCAGCTAAATCAATCGTTTGTGATGCTTTTTAAGCCGCTTCATGGTTCACTTGGCATAAAAACATCACAAACGAGTGATTTGATGGGATTCCAGGTGAGCATCCGGGTAAAACCAAATCGGTACGCAAATTAAGGTATTTGGCTAGTTCCGTGCAAACTGGATCCAGTAGAACATAAGATCGACAGAAATTCTGGGACTACGCTCACCTGACGAGCCCTAAGAAGGGCCAAACCCGTCGTGGGCTGTCGAAGATTTTTCAGCAACCTTATGCGTAGTGTATTACCGCAGCACTAAATTTTTCTCTCACGAGCTCCATTATTGCAAACGTGACAAAGAGCGAAAGTTACTAATCTGAAACCCATTTATTGCAATGCGGAAATCAGTAGAAGGGACAACAACTGCTGGTAATAACAATCAATGAGTATAACTGTACTTTGCATATATAACCATTCATCTTCAGCTGGTTCAATAAAATTCTCAGGGTCCTCGGTTAGTGCAGCTGGACTGTGATGAGCATGAGTGTAAGAAGGCGGACATCAGAAACCGCGCAACCTCATCAGAAGAGAATCTACACAAGGTTTACTGATTTTGAATACTCCTACTCAACCTCAACTCTGTTTTTTCGCTAACACTCCACCCAATCATTGATAAGGTCCGTCATCCACATGTGTTTATCTAGGTTAGTTGTCATGTTCTGAAATCAAATATTACTGTGGTGTGCTGGAATGGCTTACTATACTCTATTATGTCCTATTCAGTTCGCACTATTTGGTACACGTGTTTGCGAAACTCTTGTGTGGGCGGAATAGACCTCCGTGGTCTTCGTGCACATCCGCTCATGAAACACGGATATTAGAAGGTAGATGAACATCCGGCCTCTTATAAAAGCTTGTACTTTTTAAGCAAAGCTTGGCGTATCCACATAACTTACAGATATCCGTTTGAAAGAGAACAGGTCACAATTAGAGGATCCAAACACAGGAACTGCAGTTGTTAGTAATCATCCAACTATTTACCCAAACACACAGAACGTGGACAAATGGCAAACACAGGAGAGCGCGCACAATACCGAAGCCTTCTACCTTGAGGAAGAGGTGAACAGACCCTCACATGGCGTGCCGTGCCTGTACACTTGGACTCCGCATCATTTTACTGCACTCATATCAATTAACCAAACGGCTGATGCACATCAACTTTGGACAGAGCATATTTTGGCAAATTTCAACGTTACTCTCCGGACAGTTATAACCTGTGTAAACCAAGTCATTGTCAGATAGGTTGTTTTCTAATTTGTTCTCATCGCTTACGAGCTGTAAACCAAAGTGAGTCACTGATGATTGAGGTGGCAGGTGAAAAGACACCTATCGGCTTTCCGCTGGTGAATTACACGTGTGGTAATTTAGTTTAAGTTCATAATCGTACATTGTGTGAACTGGTAATGAGGCCAGGTAGTTGCAGCTGATTCCCCCTTTTCAAGGTCATCCTAGAACTAAAACAGTCACCTCCAAGCTGTAGGAAAAGCTTGTATTCCTTGGGCTCTTTATCTCTTAGGACATTATGTTACCTGGAAAAATCAATGGGGGTCGCTTCAATAATTTGTTCCGTCGATAACTACGAGCTGGGCCAAATAGGCACAAAACCCAAAGCCCCAAACTCACAAATCGGGAATATCACTCATCGGTCAATCCTTATGATTATAGATTGATTCCAGCAATCTGTTGAACCACATCGAGTTACGCGCAAAACCCCAAAAGCCAATTCCTTCAAATGGAGGTTTATCTACAAATGCGGTACTACACATACAATAGTAAAATGATAAAGCTTTACAAACCTCAAATCGCGGGACTATGCCGGCTTCTATACACCGGTTTAGGAACTGCCAATTCCTAACGGGTCTCAAGGTCCACGCCAACTCAAAGCCACGTGTTTACAAGCTAGCGAAATCACGTGTGAACTTAAAAACACGTCCGATGACAAGGCCAAAGAACGGTTTATGTTCGGGTCACAAATAGGAAGGGTGCTTTAGGCACAAACCAAAATAACAAAAGAGGGGAATAGCGTTGTGCAATATAAAAAAGAAGGAAGGAATCAACACTGGTGACAACCCATTGGAATTGACTGAAAGGCATCATGTGATAAGTCGTTCCAAGAGGTTGTGAAGAAAAAATTAGACCTACGGGGGACTTTGAACCATCAAAATTCGCATTCTAACAAAAGCAGTCAAATTACACAAATCTTTTTACAGATTTTATGGATTTTCTGGGACAGAAAATCGAGTGAACAATGTTCATTTAAGTGTAATTCACAAGCACCACAATCTGATAGGAAGAAAATTACATTTCAGGTTACTAGAAAGAAGGAAATTATTATTTGATAATGATGAGAATTTTCATCTTACACGCTAACTACTGGCAGCTTGATGGGAGAAGGAAGTAGTGAGTGCGAGGGCTGATTTTTGGCGTTATTCTTCGCTAACTTTCTTTCCCTCCTTATTGACAAATCCAATGACCAATAGGTGTGAGTAGAAGCCGTCCACTTCACTGTCTACAGGACAAATGCTGTACAGCAACCTGATCTGCCGGTGAAGAAGTACGAGGACGTGGGAATAAGTAAAGATCTAACATTACTCTAAAGTCCGATTTCGTTAGGCATTCTTGATCAGTGGATATCGATCGGTCTGAAAAAAACAAGGCCTATTCAATTGGCTGGTTACTTCAGCTTCTAGCCAGTGAGAAGTAAAACACTAAGAGGTCAGCACACTTTGGGCTGTGTGCATACATTGGAGTAACGCGGAACGAACGATAAATTAGGCTTCAAAAATGTAGACGGTTAGAAAAATAAGCTACAGTTGGTGTGCCGGATCGAGAGACAAAGGCGATAAAGAATGCTACAGGAATCAAACCAGAAAGAATACCTTCAAAGTGACATGAATGGCCAGATGCGTCGAACCGTGTTGGAGTTGTGCGGCGAGGCATTTCGACTATTTCGAGTGGAAAAGGATATAGCCAGCTATGTGAGAGAAGGAATGAGGACGCAGTATCCAGGGATATGGCACTGTATCGTCGGCGAAAAGTTTGGAAGGTGAGCTTGACTTAACTATTTTGATGAGTCTAAGTTGGGTGGCCGGACTGAATCCTTTTTCTGTTGTAAGATAGAGTGAAGACAAGCACTTAGTTTAATATTTGTCTAGCGGTTGAATACAAATAACCTTATTTTGCTCGAAAGAAACCGGCCAGCGTCACATCCCAAATGTCACGCACAGCGTGGTAGCGTGTGAAGACAGTGCAACCGTAGGGGTTGTTTTATGGAAGCTGGGCAAAGTCAGTATTCTAGCTCAAATACGTTTTAACTAGCAAATTTTACTTACGGCGCTGGAGCCAACTACTAACAACTCAATTTTTAAAGCACACTTTTGGTTTTTCATCCAGCGGTGTTTCAGATGTAGATGGTTTTGAGACTTAAAGAATTCACGTTCACTCTCGTTTGAATAGTCCCCCTTCTGTCTGATGAGCTGGCAACAAAGGGGTAAGCATTGGATTCGAGTTTCGCTTTTATTGTAGCCCATCAGTAGTGCATATATAGTTCGACGTTCAGGGGTTTGAACTCCGGATATCAGGCATGCGAGGCGAATCCCGCAAATCCTACAACTACAATCCAAAAAAACTGCCAAACACGTTTCAAGCATCCGTGGCGCTATCTGAATGAGAAGTTTTGATGGGTGGTTCACACATAACCAAGAGAGTTATCGGGCAATCCGGTCACACCGCTCAGGCACAAAAGCGTTCGTCTGTGCAGACGTGATTGATCAGGTTTGGTGGTAACATGCTCGCATGACATGTAGGTTGTCCAGTGTTGAAATCCCCGTACGGTCGAGGAAATGCATGGCTGACTAGCTCCACTAAGAGCCAAACTTGAGTCCGGTAATTCCCCCTTTGGTGTTGAACCACCAAAATAATTAGACCAAGACGGAACTGTTCAAACGAGACTAATGTGAAAGTGTATGCTACAATCACTGAAGAAGTTTCACTTGGATTTCATCATTCAAGTAACATCAACCCAATCACTATTAATTGCGCCTCTCACAAATCTTCAGGGAAATTCAATTCTGTTTCTGTTACTATGTGAACCCAATGATATTCGACCACGAGTGGCTAGTGATCCACAAACTACAGGGTTTCAAGTATCTGTTCGATAACTCACTAGTGGTTAAGCCCTTTTCGGGCTGATTGCGTAATCCCCGAGTTTCCGTCTACCTTGTTTCAAACCCGGACACCAGTTTGTACGTAAGTGGCATTACATACCGTTTGTTAGTTAACTTGGAGCCGATGGGAGACTCACTTAAGTCCCCTATGTAATGTAATGTATTTACTTTAATTGACAAGCGCTTCCATATAAAGGGAATCACTTCGACAGTTCATACATCGTTATAATTGAAGATTGTGCTGTGAATGCGTTTGGAGACCGTCACGGTCAGCTGAACCCCACATTACTCCCATCTTACGTTGCAACGTTGTTCGTTAGTTCATGATTCCTCCGTAAACTACTCATATTCTGCAGTAGATTTGAAATGATCTGCTCTTGTTACCACAGCTACTAATGGTGGAAGGGGGACGATGCAAGTCAAGAACGTCTTTAAGTAACATTCTCCCATATCACGTTGCCGCTCAACCCAAAAACTGTACCACAAATATAAGAACTTCGTGAACAATCTTGTCTGGCTTGGGCCAGAATAAGAATTAAAAACGACAACTGTGTTGTAATAATAAACAGATACAGAGTACCGAGTGGGTTAGAATTCTTTCTCCAATAGCCAAAATACAGCAACAGGGAGCAACGTGCAGCGTTTATTGTCACACCGCGTGCAACAAGCGATTTTTCTTAAGCCTACACAACTGACCTAAGAGAGAAGTGACAAGCATGTGGAAGTGTTTGCTGGTCTATCAGGCTGACTGAATTCTGACTAAAATTCGTGGACTATCTGCAGCGAATAACGCTTCATTTCCAAGCATAGCTTATTACAAAGCCCATCCATTCACTTTGCTTAAAACTGGAAGCAATCCGTGGTTAAATTGCTACAGCACTCAATCAGAGAGCCGTACTTCACCGCTGAGAAATCCAGTCATGTCATTAGTTGATACATCTAACTTCCAGGGCAGAAAGTTATGAGCAGCTTTGTTACTTATGCAAGACAATCTTTCCTGGGCTTAAGTGGGATACAACCGAAGAAGATGAGCCAATCAAAAAGTCGTGGATAGCTTCGGATAAACCAAAATGAACCTCGCGTCCGCTGCCCCATTTCAGCTTCATTACGCATATCGACACATCACCTATGCTCCCATATTCTCAGACTCCCTTGGCTTGCTTGATCTTTATGAAGTGCTTTTAAGCAAAAGCGGAATCTTACAAATTAGGCGACTTGGTAATCATCATCGATCATCAGTCATTCACTAGTGATCAGGAGATTCATTAGGATCCACTTTTGAAGCTTGTGCCTACATTTTTGTGCAAATGTCACACGCATATTGCCACGTCTTAACGGCCCCGGACCAGGGTTCTTACACTGAAAGAATCAAGTGTTACAACCTTTGATTTCAAAGAAAAAGAATGTGTAATTATTAGTCAGACTGAGTCAAAATGAGTAACTAAGTCAATAAATGAATCCTTATAAGATTTAATTTATTCGCCATAGGAGTCGCGTGGCTTTTATCCTTTACTTTCAACTGCGTATAATTTCTGGAACTGTGAAGGCCTGCAGGCGTTTGAATCATTTTTTCTCAGTCTAAAGCAGCACTTGGCGTTATAGGGTTGATAACTTTTCCGGCATATTAGTGACTAACTCCCATGCAGCAATCCTTCAGCTACCAGACTAGAGGAGTCCATTCTGGCAGTTAATCTTCCACGATATCTCGGACTGAATTCATTTGAGCTTCATTCTCCCTAACCACTCAATATCGTCGTATGGTCTAAACTAAACAAACCAGTCGTGTACAAATTGCATGATGCAAGAGAGCCGGGTTGCCCATCCATGAATGGCGGTCCTTCTTCTTCAACATCACCCGAGTTTCAAGTCTGTATCGCAAACAAATTTGGGATGCTTATTTCGACAAGTTGCGCTACTTTTACCGTTAATCAGTAGTCGCATCATCCCACCTCTGGAAATGCATTGTAAACGCTGTCCCTCATTTAGCTCATTTTTGGGTTTAACATTGCCGCTGGATACACTCGAACTAATGAATTTCCCAAATATCAAACTCACAGATTTGAGATCTATAAAAACAGAAAACAGAGCCAGCGAAACTGCCAGCTTGCATGCTTGATGGTCGATGCTTCCTGGACGTAGTTTCCGAAATTTTTCGCACAGATGAATGCCATCACTAAATTTTCGACCACATTTATCGTGTGCTATTGAATCAAAATGCCTTTAGCGTTCCCGAACAAGGATTGCTTTAGGTTCGTTGAGCTGGTTATAGTCGTGTTGCGAATCATGCAGTTACAGTCAGACCACCATGGGAAGCCCAGCATGTGTTGCCTAATCACAGAAATATCAGTAACATGCTTAGCGATCGGCCATCCAAACAGAGCCCAACGTCAGCTGGCAGGAGAACAATATGGCCATTATATCTCTGATTAAGTGAGTGGGTCATTCAAATTCTACTGACGTATGTCCGAAACAGACCAGTCTGTTTGGATGACCTTTGAATATAATGGAATGTAAAAAATTGAGGCTTGGTTGTAGTAGGTTTGTGTATTGTCAGTCAGGTGACGAAATGCATCACCTCCTCAAGAGGGGTTGCACTCTGCGCCTATGGAAACTTCGCCGAATACACCAAACAAGAACTGGAAATACGGTATACGACGAATTTATTAACGCCTATAGTTCCCTACTCTGTCTAAGTTTGACATTCATTGAAGCCAAAAAAGTTGGTGGTATCTCAAACTTCTAAGAATGCTGTCCTGTATAGTGGAGGAAATGTCTCCATTCATGAGACCATTGGTGCTTACCTGCCAATATACTGATTTTCTCTTAGTTGTATCGTCAAAATTACTGTGACGAGTCAGTGACGAGTCAGCATGATGCTCGTGGTTGGTGGGATGCATCCAGCAAACGACAAGGGGATAAACACACAACAGTCATGGTGGGGCTTTGAACCAAATTTTTGCTGGCATATGCTACAATTTAGGATCCACCGTAAAGACAACCACATTCTTATGTCTATCGATAATTTCACATAGTTAGATGGAGCGATGTCGATCTTCACTAGAGTGACAAAACCTGAAGCACTAAACTGTTATCTTCTGAACCATTCCACACCGTCTCCTGTGTATTACACAAAGCAATCCACAATCAGCTCGGTTTCAGTCCATAAAACGGATATAAGAACACTATGAGTCAGACGGGTTATGCTGATAGACCACAACTGATTTTTGGGGAAAGTATCAGCCTAAAACTTTGGCGATAAGACACTATTTGGACAAAAAACTCGAGAAATAAATAAACATAACACTACAATTCTTTATTAAAAAGGTGTACTTAGTTTAGTTTAGTTAGAAAGGAAACCAAGTAATTCATGATGGTCTCAAACTTTCCCATTGCCATTGAGTTCAACTAACACAGGTTTCGATTCTAGTCATTTGAAGTAAAGCTTTCTGTAACAAAAAGATGAAAACCACATGGCTTGGCGTGATACACATATGCTCCGTATCGGAGGTGAAAAGAGTGCAACAGGCTCTTCTCAGCTCACCAAAAGAACACGACTTATACTGCAGGTTAATTTCATGTTTTCCTACCGATAGTTACCCCCAAAAAAACTTTGGCATTATTACTGCAGTCTGGATCGGAGCAACGGCGAATTCTTTGACAACCGGATAATAAAAGTTTAGTCGAACGTCCCATGTAGATGAGATGCGTAACATTGTCATTCAGTCAAACAGCTGAAGAACTTTGCCTCGTGTTATCTTGTCAACTAGTAAATACATCATGTATCGAAAATTAAGGCGATCCTGATGCGCAGAGCAGGAAGCCGAATGGTCAACAATAAGATGGCCGGTGGACATTCAAACTTTGTAGTAGCGCCCTGGCGTACTCCGATGTGTTTCAACTACTTCAAGCACCTCAAAGTTCAAAATATTTCCAGAATATTATAAACTATAAAAAGTTTAAAAAAACACTCCCCCATCTAAGAGGAGGGTATTCACTGACCAGAAATATCTACCCGTTTTCTGTGTGCTTTCCTACTGATCGAAACTATTTCAATCTTATTTTATGTCAATCACTTCACCGGCGTGAAAATAGCATGTAGTTGAGTTAATCAAGGTGAATCTTCTCACACTCAGCAAACAAACATTCCAAATATATATTCTCACCTCAAACTACTTTGAATTTTTCCTCCCGTTTAGCGCAGTTTCTTACGAATCCAATACCTTCATCAATTTTTACTTTGATCGCTACGGAATACTCTTGTTCAAAGCCGGATGATGTTCTTATCAAACTGACAACTCCTGTGGAGGATTTCTTTTATGATCTCAGTAAAGTTTGTTTTAAAATAGAGTATTTGTGGTGCCGCTTCATTCTGGCTTCAGTTTGTCTCATGAGGAGACTTTTTATATGGTGAGAGGACTAAGTGTGGAGCCATAATGTTTTTTCCAGTAGGACAGGCATTCTCCAAAATTTGAGGCTTATTTTGACCAGATTTGAGAAAGCCACGGGGAGGTTTCGAGGTCAGGATTCCTAGTGGCTTACTTAAAAATGCGTGCTTGTTAAGGAACCCAAGAGCTCCTGGAAAAAAATTAAAAGTCTATCGCAGTTCTTCTGTTCTAAAGGACATTGACCTCGACAGGCAACCAAGTACCTTGATCTGCTCAGTACTAAGAGGAATTCGCTGTGACCTTCTGCGATAATAACCGTGTTATTAACCTCCAATGAAGCGCTGCCATATACAAGGGAACTGATCTTTATATACTGTTTATACCAGTGCAACGGTGGATACTGCTGATGGCGCATGCGAGTAGTATGTTTTCTCGCAAATCCGTTTCGCGTCTCTTGGAAAGTGATATCTATTATGGAATTTGTGGAGTCGAATTTTCTTGCACTTGAGCAACAGACAACTAATGTCCAGGAAAGTTCGAGAAGACGCGTTTAAGGAGAAGATAGATATTTGGCTTCTGTAAAGATGATGCATATGAGAGTTTTGCTTCCCTGGTCAATAGTCTGTACCTGTTCGCTTAGCGGTTTTTAAATAAATGTCTCCGCAGCGAAGGTCTTCCTCCTTTCACAAGTAGTGCCAATGGAATTAGATTTATATATATCACACACTTTAGGCTTCGCGCACGTTATCAAAGATACTCCAACTGCGGTGCACCATTCGCCAAGTTTATCAGTTTTCATTGACCGCATAAACGTAGCGAGTGGCCCTAAACATCAAAGTGCAAAATGCCACGGGAATGTATTAAACTGCATGCCTTCCGTGATGCAACGGATGATGTCAGAAGTGATCCCTGTTTATGACGCGATCTTCACTCACTCTGAAGGTACCGGCCAGTAAACCATACAGAGATAAGTGATGCAACATGCGCCACACATTATGGCGGTTAATTATAAACTGCAGAAAATCCGTGAAAATCTGTGAATAGGCCTTGAATTTTCCCACTGTTATTTAGTCCAGTAATAACAGCGTCGTCAAAAGGCCCAGAATCAGCCATTTCAACATTATTGGGAATCATCAGTCAAGAGAATCTCACGAAACCCCTGGGAGTTTCTAACCCACGACTAGGCCCCATCATTTCTGATCAACGCTTGCCATTGCGAAAGCAGCTTACCGGATGTCATCATTGCGGTTATACATTATCAGTGAAACTTTTGACTATGTGATGAGCTTGAAGCTGATCTGTTCTAAAAGCTTTGTGATAATCTCTGAGCGATGCTTCTTAAACAGCAGAAACGGCGTTTGTTTTCGGTCGTTGTTTGAATGCGATAAAAACCGTTTAAACATAGGAACAAGTTTCAATAACCTAGTAAGCCTCCACCTACCTTACCGACCGCAATTAGGTTAGGTATGAACCAGGAAAAGTTCTCAGCTGTGTTGATATCGTTGCTCAAAAGAACAATACGCAAAAATAATGGTGTGGGAAGTAGCAAGAAGTCGGTTTTGAACGACTGATATGTATATACGGAGTAATTTTCAACAAAGTTTCCTCAAAAACAAGATATATCTATCCCGACTTGAACAAGAGAAATGCACGATCTTGAAGATAAAAATAAATAAAATTCTGCGCTTCGTGTGTAACGTAGCTGAAAAACAAAGAAAAGTAGATCATATTAAGGACAAATTAAACAGAAGAAACGTGGAATTACAGGGAAATTTGATGAATGCCGGGGGACCACTGTCCAGCGATATCAGTCTTTAGTTGAGCTGCCTGACCTCTCCAGATAGTGTGTCAAGATAAACCAATAATAAAAATGGCAATACTAATCGGTTTCCCATACCTGCCAAAATTCTTCCCCACGATGCAGTGCCACGTCGGACCGAATCTTCTATCGAACTCCTTCTTCAAATGGGCGGCGACATCCTTTTCCACATTGAAATTGTCAAGCCCATAGGCGGCTGTGTTCACAGCAATATCTTGCATTTCGGCAGTCATGTCAGCATTCTTGATAACAGCCTTTCTATCACCCATGTTGTGTGTAAGCGCTAGGGTGGGCGGGACGAATACATTGGTCCTTTATATTCAGTTTGGCTTTCTTCGTCAGCATGCGTTAGCTGAGACGATCGACCGAACTCGAATGGAGTGCAGCTTTTTGAGACGTATGTGATAAGGCTTTAGCCAAATGCCCTCAGTAAACTGTTACAGCTAGTCAATGAGGCCTGGTATGCGTTTGTGTATGATTGCCTGTATGCAGATATCACACATAAACAAATCAATTAGGGTACAAAATCGGCAACTATTCGAGCAATCATTAGTTACAGTTGGCTTGCAACAGTATGTGCTTTAGGACGCCGAACCACCAAAGAACAGATTGAGGACAAAGATAGTTTAACCGTTTAGCGTCTTATTCTGGCATCGAGAAGAGAAAACAATAAAGTGCCGAAAGTCATTGCCTGTCCACAAACAAACAAGACTCATGAAGCCTCGTACCAGTGAACTTAGTGCAATTGGGTGAACGATAAGAGTGTGTTTTACAGCTAATAAAACTGTCCTGGCACCGGGCAAATATTCACTCTAACTCCATAATCACGATATGTGTTTGAAAGACCACTTGGAACACTTGGAACTCATCGATTCCAATGTCTGTAATTCTCCGCAGGACTTTTCAAGCTCATTTACACCAACGGTAAAAAGATTACATCAGCGAGAAAGGCATCAAAGCCATGACTAATTCATGAAGATCAGGTGGATTGTTGATAGACTGGAAGATGACTGAAGGCACAAAGGCGGTTGTGCACGAGGAGTTAGTGCAGGTTCTCTGGCTGCATAGTGCCCATGTTCGCTAAACGTTGGTCTAGAGTGATGCTGCATGTACTCGAGGCAAAGTAGCTGACGAGGAATTTTTCTGGATGCTTCATTGTTTCATGGTCACCGAGTGCGCGTGTAGGAAGATTCCTAGACAAAAGGAGAATGTGAAACAGTACATTCCAATGGGAATGTCCTCATAGAAGAGCGAATTTAGGTGGGCCTTGGATTATCAAGCGCATACACCATCACGAGCCTCAGTGGAAACCCTCTGAGATTAATGGTGGTACTTTCTTGAATGCCTGCCAATAATTAAGCCACCCATTCATATTCGGTCTAAATACATGCTTCGAAAATTCCAGCAAGCATTATCAGACTAAGTTGTAGTGATTAGTCTTCGCTATTTACAGTTTGGATAAAAAAAACACTCTTTTCCTATGTGATCGCTTGTGGTGTAAACGATGTCTTCGAGTGGTTACTTCGTCTTTTGCTGACAAAAAATATATGAATTTACCAGGGCAATATGTAGTGTTTCAGAGTAGCCGGTTATGCAATTCTTTGGATTTGAAAAACGTTCAACAAAAGAGTGGCTTGTCATTGCACAGAATATCACAAAGGTTATTTCACTAACCGCTAGTAGAGGAAAAGTATTAAGTCATAGACAACACGAGTTGCAGCCTATCAGTGTCTAGGTCGATTATTGAGTACCTTTCACCTAATTACTTTAAGTCCTTCGAAAATCTCATCAATTTCATTGAATTTAATTTAATTTGTTTTCATCACCCACTTTGAGAGTCCACAATCTTGAGCAACTGCGTTAGTCAAGCAACCATCGACAACTGCTGTTTCGCTACTTTGAACAGCTTGTCTATGAATTGTAGAATTTCGGGACGGTTCTGTTGCTTCAAATGGCGATCCTTGAACTCCTGTTGTCACTAGCATTACTTGAGCACACGTACATATGAGTCCTGCAAACGAACACAGAATGGTCACTCATCACTGTGCAACTTGCACAGCGCAAGATAACAGGGCATTTCAAATACCATAATTCTGCAAAATATGAATAAGATCACCTTAACAGCACGTTGTATGTGGGTGTTGGTTCGAATAATTGTGAATAAGACTTGTCTCTAGTCAGGAAGAAAACCTGGAAAACAACAAGTGGATCTCAGTTGTGGGGTTTGTGGGATAAGTATATAGTTTATATTCAAACCACTCTCGTTGGAACGGTCATTTTTCTGTCCTGACCTAAATATTCTGGTGAGTCCGCACCAAAGGGAAGCACTGGACTCGAGTTTCACCTTTATTAGTGCTCATCAGTAGTGCATTTGCAAAGTGGATCTATGGAGGAAAGTTTCGGTAGTTCAGGTAGCATAGATGGTGGTCGTTGGCTTGTTCGCTGAGCCGGGCATTTTGATTGGAAACTTTTCATGACTAATCGAGGTGCCATCATCAGTGCGTTATTTGGGGGCATGGCGGTGCGTAGCGGTGGGTCAATGTTAGTGGTAAGCACGGCTACGCTCCCCAATAACGCACTGATGATGTCACCTCGATTGATGATGAAACGTTTGCAATCAAATTGCGCAGCCCAGCGAACAATTCAACGACCAAAGTGGATCTGTTTCGTTCACCTTCTACTCATTTGACTGTGAATGGGATTGATGGGACACTCTGCGCATGCGAGTTCATCTTCCTCATTCCTGCATGATCCTATTCATCGGATTTTTTTAATTTTCTTTCTAACCGTTCATTTTACGTGGACCAGAAATTTCCTGTTAACAACGTTGCGGCCGATTCACGAGCTCCATGAGTTTGATTCACAGAGTAGTCACGATAATCTGAGGAAAGCCCAACACATTTGACGAGCATTAATGTTTGCTTTTATAAAAATTTCCACGACCGAAGCGAATGCTCCGGAGACATTGTATTGTTTCCTCGTAGAAGGGTGACCACTGAGAACCGGCTCATTTGCATTTCGCATCATATGCATTTTTACTTTCTTTCGCCAAACCACCAACCATGTGTTTGGGTGCAAGTGGCTTTCATCTAGTTAAACTTAAATGAAAACGGTAAACACGACAAAGTGTAGCGGAGACACTTGCTTGTGTAACCATGTGTTGCTTATTTGGTGCTTGAGGTGTTGAGGAGTTCCACGTTGCTTGATCCTATGTTTGTGTTGATGCTACCCTGCTGAAAATATTAGTGCTTTATGCATATGTAAGACCAAATTACCGTTGTTTGTCGATCCAGCCAATTGGAAACGAACCACTAATGTGGCACGTTAGGATATCTGTAATGGTTTTGGCAGGAACTCTTCAGGCAATAGCTAGCTAGTACCCCTAAGTCTGGGGCATGGGATACTTCCATTGTAGTACTTTTATTGGGTTCAAGTCACTTACCTCCTTACCAGGCGTTTTTTCAGGAAAACTTACACTAGAAGAGCTTTTTCCTATGCAAAATCGGCTTGTTGTTTTCTCACCTAAATTCTGATTATCGCAGAACGTCCTGTCTCTCAGATAGTTTGCAATGCTATGTTGCACACAATTTTAAGTGTAACGAACAAGAGCTTTGCGAATTTCAGATTCCTGTCTGTTTGCAGAATGACTCCAATCTCACCCAATGTAGCTTGGTCCAGTCTGCCAACTGATAGTTTGTGAATAATCACATCTACTCTCCGTTGGTGTGCAGTGAGAAAACGGCTTTGCTTTCAAATATCGTACTCACGTCTCCTCAGGTACTTACATGGTCTGTGCCACTTGTAGGTTTTGTGAATGTTGTCCATTCTTTTGAACCATACTAAGAGAACAACTTCGGAAATGATGAACAAACATCGGACAACAATGCTCCCGGTAGACAATGACACCGTTCCATTCTCGATCGATTCCGCTTTGGACTAAAGTTGTGTATACATACGCCTTTCGCACAGACCCAATAGGACATAAGAATGACTACTCGATGTATGCAGTGTAGACAAATTGTACGTATGATAATTCAATGAATTACCGATGGACCAATTATCAAGAAGGACGCCCAGTACCGGTCACTAACTATAGGTCTACTTCTCGGCCACTTTTACTCCCTCAGATGAAAACTATTCATAGGACCACATTAAGTCTGCTTTAGTGGAACTTTCATTTTATTATCAGCATAACATAATCATGTCATAGGTCACAAGGATGTCCTAAACAAATTGGGAGAGATTCCGTTTAATTCAAAAGCATTTATCACTTCTGCACCTCAAAAGAGTGAACTTTTGATTTGACTTGAACTGCCATGACCAGTTCGTCTTTCTCTGCTCTATTTATCCCAAACTATCCGAGCTTTCTCTTTGGTAACCCCCAAATCGATGAGTGTATTGATTTTTCGCCCTGGCTATTTTTCAAAGCGTTCAGGTCTTCCATAACTGCCTCGCATTTTTCTAAAAATCCTCGGTGAATGCCTAAAGGTATGAATGGATTTATATGAGCTCAAAGGTTCTGTCAGCAAATGTTACTGATCACGGGACATTCGAATTCACCGAGCCGGTCTATCATAAAAAAGCTGCTCAATTTGGCCGGCACACTGACCGAAATTATTGGAGGATACAAAAACTCCTTCACTTTTTGCAAAATTTCAACTTGGATCTATCACAGAATTTTAAAATTTCTTCAAATCACAGTAGATCAGGTTGGATCGGTAGACCACTGGTCCCAAGATGGAATTTCAGTGGTATAAATGAATGACAGTTTGGCCATACGCAGTGTGCATGATATGTCCCACGCCCCGCGGTGCACTTCAAAATTCAAAGTGAATCACTGCCTAGGGTAAGCAACAAGTGCGTGTATTAAATATCATCTTGAAATATCTTCACTGATATGCACGTGACAAGCAGTGAGATTGAGAAGACTCTCAACCCGTCAAGAAAACTCACATTCTCGAATGCTGCGAACCAGATCAACCGTCTCTAATGGGCTATCAGAGCTGAAGCATTGAGCTTTCTTAATTATCCAAAACACGCATAGTCTTGGGGCAACGTTAAGCTGCTTTACTACTTGGATTACCGATCCCTTTCTAATTCTGAGCCAAGACAGATGTTTTTTTTCTGTATTTGGGGTAGCCAATGAACTGTCCATGACCTAAGAGGTCTGGTCGGATAAACTATGGATTTACTCACTTACAAACGGCTGAACCTCACTTTGTTTAATAGAGAATATGATGTCAGTAACTATATAGATTAAGTTTGATTCTTACGCGTCAAAATCGAGTGATTTTTCAGCTGATTTCTTCTCG